TGAACAATCAGACTGACCAATCACAACTGACAAACTGACTAATTCATGGTATAATTACCAATCAGTCCCACGTGTTACAACAACTCTTTATTTTTCCTCCCAGTTAAAAGTAATGATTGTCCAATCACTACTTGATTAAAAAAACTGCGATCTGTTTGGAAAAAAGCTTAGAAGCTAAAGTTCTCTTGTCATTTTGCAAGATTTGGGTATAAAACTTAAATGTCTGGTTCAAAGAATTCCAAGAAATTTTCTTTTACAATTATATGTACAGTTGATCATGTTTTTATGAAATAATTGCATTAGAACTCGAAAGCGCCACAATACAACATCAATTCCTACTTGTTCATGGTTCTAAAAAAGTAGTCAAGATTGATCTTTCACATCATTAATGGTATATTTTGAGGAAGAAATAATTCTTTTCGAAAAAAAAATGGAAGCTGCGGCCAATTCGGTTCACGGTCTGTCTTGCTATAGTTTCAGGAAAAAGAAATGTGTTATTACGAATTCAGTTCTTGCCTGTAATTTACAGCGAACTCAGTTGAAAGTTAGAGTATCCATCTACCTTTGTTTCGTTTTTTCGAAAAGATTAGAGTAAGTTGTCAAAATGATAACAAATCAAACGCAAATTACGATGAGGGATTTTAGGTTACTATCAGCGATAAATTTTTTTTCTTGGAAACTTTCTGTAAAACAATTGTAAATAGGACTAGAATTTCTTCGGTGAAGACAAAATTGCACGCAAAATAAGTTTGCTTTCAGATAATTCTTTGAACCAGCCACTGGGTTTTATCGCCGTAGTTATAATGTAGAAAGACCTTTTTCAGCCAAAAATTATTGTAACACAGGACTAAAGGAGTTTTGGAGTTTGAACGCTGAATTGATGATTTCATCGGTGAAAAATAAAAGTTTGCACGACCAAGATCTTGTCAAAATTACTTGAAAAGAAAAGTGGAGCCAAGGAATTCTTAACCCATGCCACCAAAGTGAGAAAAAAATTAAACAGCTCTCTTGGCTTATCAGAGAATTAGAAGAGGGAAAACTTATTTGAAGATCATTTTTGTTTAACAAACAAATTTGGTTATGATTCTGATCAATTTACGTCAAATTTTCTTGTGTAACTGACAAACGATGTCAATGGCTGAAAAAGATCTTTCTCTCGGCAACATAGCAAGCTTTAAGTATTTTGTAGAAGCGTGTACATATCACCTTGCGCAAAAAATTCTTAAGACCAAAGAGGATCGTTCACCAAAATTGTGTAAAAAATATCGGAAAAATCTAGAATAAAAGGCTGTTTGGCAATTTTTTGCTATGAAATTTTTGCACAAGGTGATAGTTACATTTATTTTGGTGGAAAAATTAAAGGGAAGCCATTTTAATTTTTTTGTAGAAAATCTTGTTAGGGGGAACTCTGTGCAAATTCTACCAAATTTTCCCGCCAAAAGTCTTAGTATAAATTTGAGCGAATTTTTCTTCACTATTTAATGGAAATTAACTTAAAGAATAAAAGAACTGAAAAACTGAACATTTGTATTACTATTTATTGGATGAAAATAAAGATGACACAAGAAATGAGTGAACATTGTTTAGTTAATATAATAGTAATAAAAGATGAAGTCTTGGACACAATTTTATAAAAAAAAAAAAACGGCGCAGGCGTATTTCAGGCGCCTGTATTTTTTTTTTTTAAGTTTTTTGGCGGGAAAATTACGCCCTTTTAACTAGATGTTACTTACAGAATAAAAAAAAAAACTGGCGCATGCGTATTTTAAGCGCCCCGTATTTTCTAAGTTTTTTGGCGGGAAAAATAAAAATTTTTTTAAGGGATATTAGCTGAAGTCTTGAATGAAACAAAATTTAAAGAGCAGTTACTAAGCAAATCTTGTGTTCAATTTGAAAAAAATCGATGCTCCAACTAGCAGAAAAGAATCTAATGTTTTCAGAGGGCAAGAAAAATAAATCTTCCCGAAAATCAAACAACCTTGACGCAGTTGAGTTCTGGTAAAATTTATTTTCTATCTCTGCTTTGAACTTGTCTTGGAGCTGTAAGGTCTTCATCCTCAAGTGTTGGTGCTTGATTGGGACTTCAGTCTTCCGCCATTCAGCTATCTGCAAGAGCAAAGGAACGAACGAATTAACAAATACATTTTCCATAAAGACTTAACATGAATTTTTACCACCGTGACGTAAGTTCATCATCTCGCTCGAGCTTACATTCAAGCCTTCTGATTAACCACCAGTCGCCAACAATAGCATGTAAACTACAGGTAGCCATAAATGTCATGCAGAACTTTGTCTTCTTATTTTCCTTAACCCAGCAGACACAATGAACTCTTTTCACACACACATTTATTTAACCTGCTTTTGCAGATTACAGATTGCAGATTTCCGTAAGCTGGCTAGAATAATAATTCTTTTTCTAGAAGGATCTCGACATTTCTTTGTATTAAAATAAACGCACGAGAGAAAAACAGAATTCTGACATGACATTATCATAACTTTAGCAGCGTTGTTTATTTAGTTATCGGTTTTTTAATTCACATGTCTAATTCACGCCATGAACAATTTTCTTGCTCAGTCTCTGATCCTTTTACATTTTTGTTCACTAAGAATAACCTGGATATGTACAGAGTTTGCAGCCAAAGTGGCCTCGAGTTTTTGTAAAGGGATCTTAGATTTCATAAAAGGTAAGAGTTAAACCGAAATGCAAATTAAAAGGTGCTAAATGTTGAAGGCGTCATGGAATTTCAGTGAATCATTCTGCGTCTCAGGGGATCAAAAATCATCAAAGTTATTTTTGGCTTTAAAATGCTGGATAGAAACGACAAAACTTCTCCAAAAACTAGTGAAATTACAGCAAAATTTCATGGAAAGCAGTATGAAAATTAAATATCCTTAGACATGCGAGCGTGAAAAACAATAAAATAATTTTCTTAAATCAATTTAACTTCTTCACAAACTCGGGCTGAATGATGAAAGTTCAAAGGTCGAGATTCAAGAGAAATCGCTTATCAAGCCAGAGTAAATTGTACAAGAGCAATGGCGCTTTTGTGTATAAATCTAACAAATTCAAAACCTTGTTTAGCGTGGAATACTTATGGGCAGAAATCATTAAATATTAAGAATATGGTTTATGACTTAGATAAAATATCAATGCATACGTTGGTAATTTTAAAATATCTTTCCAGAAGAAGGTTCCAACAAGAGTAACTGTTCGGGTTGAGCGTGCTTCCATTGGTCTTTTATCCTGTTCTACCACGGCGCTAATTCTGCCCAAGCTGAAGGAAACATACAATTTTTCTACCAAAGATGAGTTTGGACGAAAGATTACCAACAGTAGCTGTTTTCCTCGCAGCAAAATAAAGCTGAGATTTCGCATCGGTCGCCATTTCATCCTCGAGCGAAGGCACACGTGACTGTTATAATGTGAAAGATTGATCTGCGAGTCATGAATATTGAAATAATTTGCTTTACCAAAGACCATAATCCATCAGTGCCTTTGGAAATGTTTTTCTCAGTCAGGACAACAACAACAATGGGAAATATTCTGCGAATTAAAGATTTTAATTCTACCAAGAACAGAACATCAGATGTGGGTTTTGTTCCAATAAAGGTTATTTTACAAATCTCCCTGTCCGAGTCAAGTTATGGCAAAAAACAAACAAACAAACAAAAACAATGAGGAATGAAAGAAAAATCGAGAATAGGAATAAAGAGGAAGGGGTAAAAGATAGCTGAAAAGTCTTGAAAGAAGAACAATTCACTTAAGTAAACCTAACACTATTTCATTCTTTTATGTCGACAAATATTTTGCTAGCTGGTAGATCTTTTCATTACTAAACAAAAGTCGAGTTTCAAGGGCCTAGCTGCGGTTGTTAAGAGGATGTGTAAAGCAATCCAATTGGAAAATCTCTATGCGGTGGATACTGAAGCACGTTCTGGAACACTTATCCGCTGGAAGGCGAATCGTACAATGGATAGAGTTATCGACTCTTAAAACGAATCAGCCCTGAAACAAAGGTTATACCCTCTGAAAATCGAGGATAGAAGCAAGAGGTCTACCGAAGCTTTATCGCCACGCTGACTGTACATCTTCACTCGTTTGACAGACTAACTGATAAAGAAAAATTGTTTCAAGTCTAATAGAAACTATTCTTCAAACAATATATCAGTAAATATGCAGTTTCTCTTTTGGCAACACAGGACACACTGCATGCTGTTCCTTTTTTTTTAATCTCACTTGTTCCGTTGGAGTCAAACTCTCAAAAGAAGAAGAGCGAGAAAGTTACTCACCGTTTCACCGGACAAACTGTAAACGGATAAAGGAAGTAGAAGAAAAAGAGCCCTGGAGTTCTAAGTTTGACGAAGATCCTCATCACATTTCACATAATCGCTTTGACTTCCTGAAATGAAAAACTCCCTAGGAAACACAATAAGGCAAAGACTAAGAAAAATACGGTCAAAAGGACAGCTTGAGTTACACGAGATAATAAAGTAACCATCAAAATAAGATGAAAGGGAAATTTGCGTGTGAAACTAACAAAAAAATCCAAAAATAAAACATAACAAATGAAATAAAAGACAGCTACACTTGGGCGAGATACTAAAATAAAAATCCAAATAAAAAGACAGCTATATTTGCGCAAATTACAAACGTGCCCGTCAATCCAAATAAGAAGACAGCTAAAAGTTGCGGAAGATACTTACGTCAAAGTCTAAATGAGAAGTGAGCGAAATTTGCGCGAGGTACTAACATAACAATCCAAATAAGAATTCAGTAACTTTGCGCGAGATAATAACGTGAATGGTGTCCCAAACAAATGAGAAGACAGCTATTTTTTCGCGAGGTACTAACGTCACAGTCTAAATAAGAATTTGGGCGAGTTACGAACACAACAAGCCAAATAAGATCACAAGTAAATATGCGCAAAATAGTATTGTAACAATTCTAGAAAAGAGCTAACTTTGCGCGAGGTACTAACGTCACAGTCCTAATAAGATGACAGCTAAATTTGCACAAGATAGTAACGTTAGCGGCAATCGAAATATGAGACCAGCTAAATTTACCCGAGAGACTAACGTCACAGTTTAAACAAGAACACAGCTTAATTTGTGCCAGATAGTAACGTAACAATCCAAAAGAGATACTAACACATTAATCCATAAACGAACACAGCTAATTTTGCGCAAGATACTAACCTGACAGCGAGCGAGGCACTGACATAAGAAATCAAATAAGATAACCACCAGCTTTGAATAAGATATTAAAGTGAACGGTATCCAAATAACAGAAAGAAAGCTAAATGTATGCGAGATGCTAACATAATAATCTAATACGATGATAGCAAAAATTGCACGAAATACTTAAAGAACAATCAAAATAAAAAGACAGCCAAATTTTCGCAAGATAGTAACGTAACAATCCGAATAAGACACATAAATTTGCGCAACGTACCAAAGTAACACTCCAAACATGATGACAGTTAAATTTGTGTGATACACTAACTTCACAGTTGAACAACCAAGACAGCTAAATTTGCGCAAGATATCAAAGTCACAGTTTAAATAGTACAAAAGCTAAATTTGCGCGAGATACTACACAATAATCCAAATATAATCACAGGTAGATAAGCGCAAACTACTAACGTAACAATCCAAATAGAAGACACCAAAATTTTCGCACGATACAAAAACAACAATCCAAATAAGAGCAAAACTACATTCGCCAAAAAATACTTAAATCGAAAAAAGAGACAGTAACATTACGCAAGGGAACACGGCAAAATGTTCTTTTTTACCTGGTTTTATTCGTTGTTTATTCGCCAGTTTGAATTTCCGCCACTTTGTTTTCGAGTTTTGATTACCGCTGACGCTTTGTATCGCAGGTGAGCGCCGAAGGCGCGATACAAAGCGTCAGCGTCAAAACCCAAAAACAAAATGGTGGAAATTCAAACTAGCGAATAAACAGCGAATGAAACCAGGTAAAAAATAACATTTTGCCGTGTTCCCTTGGGAGAATGGGAGAACAGCTAAAGTTGCGCGAGAAGCTAACGTTACAATCACAATGAGAGAACAACTTAAGTTGCGCGAGATACTAACGTAACAATCCAAATAAGAGAACAATTAGTTTGCGCAAGATACTAACGTAACAATGCAAATGAGAGAACAGCTAAAGTTAAGCAACGTACTAACGTAACAATCCGAATAAGAGAACAACTAAAGTTGTGCGAGATACTAATGTAACATTTCAAATGAGAAAACAACTAAAGTTGCGCGAGATACTAACGTAACAATCCAAATGAGAGAACAACTGAAGTTGGAGGATATACTAACGTAACAATCCAAATGAGGGATCAATTAAGTTTGCCCGAAATACTAATGTAACAATCCACATGAGAGATCAGCTATAGGTATGCGAGATGCTAACGTAAAAATCCAAATGAGAGATCAATTTAATTTGTGCGAAATACTAACGTAACCATCCAAATAAGAGAAAAACTGAAGTTGCGCGAGATACTAACGTAACAATCCAAATGAGAAATCAATTAGTTCTCGCGAGATACTAACGTAACAATCCAAATGAGAGAACACCTAAAGTTAGGCGAGATACTAACGTAACAAACCAAATGAGAGAACTAAAGTTGCGCGAGATACCAACGTAACAATCCAAATGAGTGATCTACTGAAGTTGCAGGAGATACTAACGCACCAATCCAAATGAGATAACAACTAAAGTTGCCCGAGATACAAGCGTAACAATCCAAATGAGAGAATATATAAAGTTGAGCCGGATACTAACGTAACAATCCAAATGAGAGAACAAATAAAGTTGCGCGAGATACTACCGTAACAATCCAAATAAGAGAACTAAAGTTGCGCGAGATACTAACGTGACAATCCAGATGAGAGAACAGCTAAAGTTGAGCCAGATACTAACGTAACAATCCAAATAGGATCAATTACGTTTGCGCTAGATACTCACGTAACAATCCACATAAGAGAACAAGTGAAGTTGCGCGAGATACTACCGTAACAATCCAAAAAGAGATCAACTAAAGTTGCGCGAGATACTAACGTAACAATTCAAGTGAGAGATCAACTGAAGTTGCGCGAGATACTAACGTAACAATCCAAATAAGGGATCAACTAACGCCAGTTGCGCGAGGTAATAACGTAAAAATCCAAATGAGAGAACACTTAAAGTTGCGCGAGAAGCTGACGCAACAATCCAAACGAGAGATCAATTCAGTTTGTGCGAGATACTGACTTTACAATCCAAATGAGAGATCAATTAACTTTGCGCGAGATACTTAACAATCTAAATGAGAGAACAAGAAAATTTGTGCAAGATTTTAACGTTACAATTTAAATGAGCAAACAGCTTATATTGCGCGAGATACTGATGTCACAATCCAAATGAGAGAACAAGTTAAGTTGGCGCGAAATACTAACGGAAGACTAAGTAAGTTTGTACGAATACCAACGACTATCACTCGAAATGAGAGAACAAGTTAAATTGGCGCGAAATACTAACGGAAGACCAAGTAAGTTTGCACGAATACCAACGACTATCACTCCAAATGAGAGAACAGCTAAAGTTGCGAGAGATAATAACTTAATAAGCCAAGTGAGAGATACCAAACAAATGATTCGAAATAAGAAGGCTAGAGATACGCATTTTAGTGATAGATAGTAGACTGTGTCGAGGCACTTATAAGCAATTAGGTTTAAGCAGTAGTTCTTAATTTTATAAATGATTGGAAAATGCTAAGAGAAGCAATGTATAACTTAAAAGCCGGCTCTAGTGAAGTGAGGTTATCATTACTATCATTACCATTATTATTATTATTATCATTTTGAAAAAATACGCGAGGCACTAACGTAACATTTGAAATATGAGGACAGCTAAAGTTGTGAATGAAAGAAACGTAACAATCTACATGAAAGGACATCCAAAGGTGTGCGAAACAGTCAAGTGATAATCGAAATAAAGGAACAAAATAAGTTACAGTTATTATAAATACTTAATCGCGGTGTTACAATGTAAATAAAGGGACTGGTAAAGTTGCGGCGTGAGATACTAACGTATCGCACAAACTAGGAGATCGACTTGAATTGGGCATGTGGAAGATACTACACACACTGTAAAGTTGGGTAAGATTTTTATCTAACAATTCAATAAAATAGACATCTGACGACCAAAGCTGCCCTCAAGGTCAAACACAAACCGAGAAACTAGCTCGTTTGCAATGAAGTCTCCAAATGGTTACATATATACTCTAGATGTTTAGACACTCTTAGCTTTTTTATATAGTAAAGTCTATTGATGATTATGGTGCAGTGTATGCCAAATAGGGATTGTTGAGGAATCCCCACCCAATTTAAAGAGTGAGGGCAGGGGGACGTGTTTCAAGTGTTGTGTCTGATGTTTAGCTGTGATCCGTTTGTGTTTCGGAGTGGGAGGAGGAGCTTAACTCCCACATAAAAACCGATAATGCCACTTCAAAAATCCAAGGCTAACTAAAGTGTCCTTTACCACTTTAACCCCTGTTTCAAAATATATTTGATACATACTGATTGTAAGTAATGCCTTTTAACAGTGAATGATGTCTAGTGACATTAGCTGAAGCTAAATTATGAAAAAAAATCAATGACGTTTAGCCACAAAGTGGTATTTTTTGTAAAAGCGATGAAGACAAAAAGAATTCTCTAACATATGACAAAGTAGTATGGCTCAGATCACCAAATATTATTAATTTACCCAAAAACAAAGGAAAATAGTTTTAAACTGGATACAAAAATTGAACTAGCATACACACAACTAGCACACTAAGAGGTGACATCACATTTTTTTTGAGAGGCAAACAGTGCACAATATATTTACATAGAGAATATCTCATTTGTTCACGAACATCTGAGAAATAGAGCAAAAGTGTACTTACTTTGATAACAAATGTTTCCACTTATCCACTCTCTTTTCTCAATCAACACTGCATTCAAGTTTATCTGCTTTCCACCTGATATTGCCTGGCTGAATTAGTCCAGTGTCCATTCAAACAAGAGTCTCACACTCTGTCCACTCCCTCTCCACTGATCACCAAGGCTTGCAATGGGCCACCGTGGCTTCACAGTATCACTATACTTTACTACACTGTGTTGCATCAGCAGGCTATGGAAAGTAACAAATAAAATCATACAACTTAGGATACTGCTTAGTAGAGTTTCCTATCCAGTATCATTTAATTTATGTATTTGTGTGTGCGTGTGTGTGTGTGTGTGTGTGTGTATGTGTGAGAGCCTATACAGTGTCCGTTTAGGCAGCCCGCCTAGAATAGCTTTGCTAACTGCGGGCTACAAAAGCCTTTATTTCTTTAATTTTAAAAAAATAAAGTGAATGTTGTTATAACACTTTACCTCCCAGGGCCAGGTTGTTCAAAGGTGGGTTAAGATAAACCAGGGTTAGTGTGAAATTTGATTTCAGATCTGAAAGCTTTAAAAGAAACTTCAGTTTAATTCCATGTGTCTACAATTTGATGATTGAATGCTCTGAAAAGAATTGGGGAAATTGCCCCAAAACGGCTTTTGAACAGAGAAATATAGAAACCTGGGTCAGTGCTATAGCTAATCGCCCTTCGAACAACTGGGCACAGAAGTGATTTATGCATAACCTCTCCCTACAATATCTCGACATTATTCAATGTATAGATATAATGTATAGGTAATGACAATACTCCAACTTAGCAGGTAGCAGTTGTTATCTTAATCTGAGGCCAAATTCTTGTAACTAACTGATAAGGAAATTAATAGCAGCTAAAGGGAAGGATTAAAGAAGCCAAATGTCAAAACAGCAAAGATGACAAATCATCAAAGTTCACAATCTGCAAAAGTTCACAAACTGAAATGGTTGGGCAGGTCAAATTCTACACTTTTGCTTGTAGCTTTTTAGTCTTAACGCAGAATTTGAGAGTAAAATTTTCAGCGAAATGCTGTGGAAGTGGGCTGC